CGTGTCGATCTTATTCTCGTTCCGAACGAGAATAAGAAATAGAGAAGAATAAGAAACAGCTAGAAGGGCCTTCTATCTGTGTCACCGCATTGCAGGTTTGTCGGTTTTGCCTACTTTTCAGTAAATTAAGACTATGATTCTGCTCCTTTTCTTTTTTATAAATCAATTTAGTATATGTGCAGTTAAACAAAACTCGAGATCTGACCGCATGGAGAACTACACTTCTTTTCAACTTTAATGGGTTTTTTTCTACAAACTAACACCTCCGTACTTCTCTTTCTGTAGATCTTTTAGTACAGATTAGTAGAGTGTAATAATAGCCTAATATTTAAATAATTTTAAATCATTCCCTGTAATAGAAAACCGGATGGGCTATTGTTTTCTCCTCCAACTCAAAACGTAATATGCACAATACTTGAAACTTTTGTAAGGTGTGCGTGATTCGACGTTACAGTTCTATTTTCGTTTTAACATGTTTATACATGGTTGGATAGAATGTTTCAATCTGATCAAGAATATGCCAGTTTTAATATTCCGAACTAATTTTTTCAATAATAAAATTAAAAAATATGGGAAGGATCGTAAGTTTTAAAACCGTTTCGTCGGCACGTAAAACTCGAATAATTTTTTCTGTTTTCATTTTGTTTCATTTTTCATCAAAGCTATTTGAAATTTACGACTCTCCCTATATCTTTTAATTCTATTATTGAAAAAATTAGTTCGGAATACTAAAACTAACATATTCTTGACCAGATCGAACAACTCTATTTAACCATGTATAGAAACATTAAAACGAAAATAGGGCTGTAACTTCGAATCACGCGCGCCTTACAAAACTTCTAAGTATTTTGGGCATTATTTGTCTAAGTTTTTACGTAGGTATCGGTACTAAAGTATAGCCGACGTTCACTTCTGCTTAAACTGCTTCACAAACAATACTTCAAGTTTAAAACCTACTTATATAGTTTAATAGAATATGAGTCAACTAAAGTTTGTTTTTCATATTTCATTTTATAGGTTTACTACAAATTCCTGTTGTTAGAAAAAACTGTCCACATCTTCAGCTACTGATGAAGTGTTCATTGTTTTTCCAAAGATAATAAACCCCTCTCCGTAATAGAAGCCCATCTCCTGTTAGAGGGATTAGTTTGTGAGTTGCAACGCGAAATAGAGGACCAGGTCTTTTTATTTCTGCTGTATGTTTTATATATTTGTTAATTATATGTTTAAAATAAAAAGAATGAATGTCTTTTTTGAGCTGTGGATGTTGTCGCACTGAACGAACATCCTGCTTGAATTGCAAATTTGATTGCAAAATTTATTTGAAGAAAAAAACAAATAACATCGTCATCATCTTTTTCTTTTAAAAAGAAACAAACTGGTCGACGTTCTTGTGGGTATTCTTGCAAGATTCTTGTTTCTTGGCATTTCAGACAAGTATCTTGTAAAATATTTCACATGTATTTTTATCACAAGAACATTGCAGAAAATCGCTTTCTTGTGAATCACGAGACGGATTCTTGTCTGAATTCACAAGAAAGCGATTTTCTGCAAGATTCTTGTGTAGTAATTCTTTAAAAAATCTTGTAAACAAATAGAATGCATATATAATCCATTTTTCGTCCTCTTTCCTTTTCATATATATATGGGGGTTGGACGCTCTCATGCCCATACAGGCACACGTAAAGACTCGATTGTCTGTCGACAAGAATCTTGTGAGATTTAAAAGACTTTTTAAAGACATCTATGTATAGTATTGAGCTATATTATGTATCTTATATGTAGCACGGGAATCGACAAAACAAATTGGTGATTTTGTCGTCAACGAATCAGACAGGAATCTTTAACGAAAAAAGATGAAAAATCAATAAAAAATGAAAAGAAGAATTGTGTCTGATCTGTCAAGAAAAAATTCAGGATTCTTGTCTGAAATGGCACGAGACAAAGAATCTTGCAAGAATATCCACAAGAACGTCAACCAGTGTATTTTAAATAAAAACAATCAATTATATTTTTTTCTTTTTTCATTTTTTCAAACGCATAATATAAGTCACTTCCTTTTTACATCAGTTCGTATTCGATTAAGCATGTAACGGTTATGGTTGTTAACCGTAATAACCGGTCGAACCGTGAACCGTAACCGTTGCATGCCTGTATTCGATCCCATGCTCATTTGGTAGCTGCTGAATAATGACGGCTGTTGCACCATCACCTTGTAATTTAATTTACCCAATTACACTAGAACTGTTTAGGGATCCTGTGATAGCTGACGATGGATATACGTATGAACGTAAAGCTATTGTCGAGTGGCTAAGAGGTCATAATGGTACAGCCCATCAGGCTTGGACTAGTCCGAGTCCGGATTGACAGATTTTTCGGTGAACTCAGACTTGGACTGAAGATTTTTTTGAAGAACTCAACCGGCTACATCGACGCCTATTGAGCGTATTTTTTCTCAATCAGGTTTTTGGAATAGACGCGAAAGAGCACGTTTTTACGAAAAACAATCGATCTCAACTGACACTGTTAAAATGTAATAGAAGTTTCAACTGTTTCAAAAAGATTGATGCATTGAATGGCATCGAATAAAAGATAAGTAAACCACAATTATCAAAAAAGAATCTAAAAGATTACCAGACTTAAAATGGACTCGGGACTCGGACCTCAATGTTAACGACTCGGACTCGACTCGGTGTCCCCCACTCCTGGACCTGCTCATCCCTGAAGTCCATTGACGTGACAAGTATTATGTGTGAATAACCTGCAACCAGGCTTAGAAATGAAACGATTAGTAGAGAAATATCGAAACGATATCGTAACATAAATTGGTTCAGACGAGGAAAGGTAACACGTTTATGCCATTTTAGAATGTTAAAGCTTATGGATTATGTTTGGCACTGCCCGTCAAACTAACCAAAGTGCTTTTTGCCTTCCGATAGCTTTAAGAGAGATCAGCAGTTTAGAGCGCTGTCAACCTATAGTGAAAATCTTTTCTACTACACCAGTTTCATAGTAGTAGAACATAACTGCTGATCACAATTTTATTCAAAACTCATTTTCCGTAGAGAATGTGAAAATACAGGTGATTGGATACAGGATTCATTTGATAATACGTGAACTGGCTGATATCACTGCGTATTTTTCGCTGGGCTCGAACATGTTTAACATGGTACGATTAAATTAAGAAAACTGAGTCGAAATATTATGGTTAATATTTAACGTATAATAATGAGAACATTTTTATGAAAATGCAACTTTATTCGCTAGAAGTGTAAAAAATTATTTAATACAACATATCAATATACGCAAAAACACGAAGTCAGACTGAAGCTTGTGTTGTAAAGTAATTTTAAAAATGGAAAAAATGTACATACTGATAATGAACAGTGTTAAAATTCGATCTCATTCCTCACGCTGTACTGCATCGAATAGTGTGACTATAGCAAAGGCTTTAAATTAATCTTTTATATCACTTATGAACATACATACAAACTCTTCTGCATTATAATAATGAAATATTGGAAATTTTTTCTGTCGATGACGTATTTTTAAGCTCGTCAAAAGACTTATGTTCGCAAAACATCATAAAAATCAGAAATCTAATTTCCAAAAATTAACATTCTAATCTACCTTAATTACGTTTCTTTGATGCTAACAGCGGAATGATAATGACTAGCTCAAAATAGTATCGATAAAACAGATATTTGAATCTAAAATTTAAAAAAGTGATTACTGTAAGGAGAAATTATGATATTTTTGATGACTTGTGGATAGACCAGAACCTTCTTTTGAAATATGTACCTAAAATTAGATAATAAGTTTTTCTTTTTTCGGACTTTGCTATCTTCACTGTATGGACAATATATTGTTTATGCCGATAATATGTCCAAAACAAAAAAAGAAAATTGGAGCATACACTATTGAACTTTGTTTTGTCGAATTTGTTGAGCAAAAAGCATCAAGTGCGGAAACATTTGATTTCCTCGGAAATTTCTCTTCGTCAATGACTTGAGTTTACCCCTTCGCCCCTAGTGGACACTTCGGGCTTTAATGTAACCGCACATGAGACTTTTTTAGTGCAAAACTGAACTTTTCTTCAAAAAAACAACAACTTCCTATCATTAGAAAGCAGTGTTCAGTAAAATAATGTTATTTCGAAAGAAATGTTCGAACAAAAAGCAAGACCCTAATTCAAACTTTTTCTCAGAATTTTCGATCGAATAAATTCATTTTATTAACCATCAGATGCAGTCATACGTGCTGATTCTGAATATTATCTTCATTTTTAACAAACATGTTTGTGGACGGAGAAAAACATATTTTACTGAAAGAATCTAGGTGTTTTGGAAACCTGTTAAAGTTAATGCTAATTTACACCAATCGGTATAAGTGTAATATCAGTAGAAGAATATTCGTACAAAGTTTGAGCTAGTTTGATTTTGGATGGAATGGCACGCGAACATTAAAGAAAAACTTTTAAGAGAATTTGAGGTGAACATTTGTTCGAGTAAAAGTGGGTTATTTCACCTAATATAGGTTCTGACTAGGTCTTTAAATTTTTCCGAGAAACAAACATTGTCACGAGATGTAGCGTAGTATATAATCTATGTTTCCATTTGTTTTCGGGATTACCACATCTAAAAATATATCGATCCTGGGACTCCCAGGAAATTCGATGACACACCTGAACTACGTACAATTGATAGGTCGTTTAGTCCTCGCTTCGGAGAGGGCACTTTGGATTGTCTACTCATAGAAAGAAACTAAAATATTGCTACGTTAAATTTTCGGTTTATGCAATGGTTTTCTAGAGAGGTCTTAAAGAATCAGTTTTTGAGAAATAATTTCAGAAATGTTTTAGTTATGAAAAGATGCTGTTAAGTCTCAGCAATCGAATGGTGGGAAGCATAAGTCTCTAACGTTTTGCATTTAAAATTTGTATAGAAAATGGTCACCGGCACTGCTTTTTGGCGACGATAGTAGTTGTTTTTAATAATAAATTAAATAAAATAGTCATGTTTTTTCTCCTCTTCTTCATGTACCGATAACCCATCAGCATATGGTGGTGTAACGTCTGTGGCGATTGTCACCGATGAATCTTTCACCTTTTTATGATTAAATTTTGAATTTCTAATACCATAACAGAAATAAATTAAAATACCCAATCCCATCCATACCCAAAATCTTATCCATGTTTGTGTAGCGGATGTTATCATTAATAATAAACATAAAAGTGCACCAATAAGTGGTATAACAAATGGACCTAATGGAACTTTAAAACGTCTTTCAACATCTTTTTGAGTAAATCGCATAATAATAACTGATATATGAACAAGAAAAAGTGTAAATAAATTTGCTATCGATGTTAATTCACCTAACATTTCTAATGGAAGAAAGCCAGCAGCTGGAGCACAAATTACACCTAAACAAGAATAATACAGATAGAATACGAAAAACTCGCAGCCACAGCATACAAGATTACAAGGGGAGACTATATATGTCTCCGATCATTCAGAGATTTAGGGTTTATTTCAGTAATGTATCTTTTATTTTCTACTTGATGTCGAATATTGACGAGCGCTCGGCAATTACAAAGTTAATAGTCAAATACTTGAAGTACGTGTCAGGTATGTTAGATTACTTCATTAGTACCTTTTTTACATGCTAAAATTTCTGAGTACTATAGGCATGGTAAATACTTGGACTACAGTACATTGAATAGGAATGTCTAACAATAAAAGTGTCCGATGGTCTCGGCGCCCTCCAATAGAATCATTTCTTGCTAGAAGAAATCTAGGAAACCGCGCGTAAGAATAGGGATTAATTCAGTTCGAACAAAATTTTTTTCGTCTACCTAAGAAAATGACCATTTCCTTCAAAAATATTCGATTTTGAGAAAAGTACATGGTAAGATAGCTCTAAGTGTCCTCTTTCAAATGCATTACTTTTTATTTGACTGAAACGTATTTTAATAGTTTTTCATAAGTTTTCTGAAACCTTGTCGAGAATGTGTATATGACCTGCTTTATGGGTTGACAAGTGTTCAGAGAAAGCGGAATATGTCAAACTCATGGATTCTCCAGCCATAACTAAAATCCTCACCTATTCGACACAAAGAGGTAAATCTGAGTTTTTGTTTTCTATCTACGTTTCTGCTTTTTGCTTCATCGCTGTTCTCACGACAAGTATTCTATGGTGTTTCCAGTTAAAATCAGAGAACCTGACTTGGGGATTACTTTCTAAAGGGTAAGTGCCTTAAACGGAAAAAGTGTTATTCCAGAGCACTAAGTAATGAATTAATTGTAATTAAAGAGAAGAACGTTCCCAAATTCCAAATAAAATAAAGTAAAGTAGATAAACGCGATTATCGTTTACAATAAGAGTTAATTTCAGGCAGATTGACCATACTATTGTAGGACGTTGGAACAAATGAACAGTGGGATTATCATCTTATTAAGCACATTGTGCTCTGAAAAAAGACATTGCTCTTGTCGTGCTGATTGAATACTAATTTCCTAACTTCCTTGATTCCGTAACAGAGCTCTGTATGGACTCAAAATTTTCGACTCCAGTCCAATCCATGCGAAGCTCTATTTCGCACATCTTGGTAGTTTCACCAACAAAAAAAGAAATGTCGAACTCTACACCAAATATACAAATTGTAAAAATCTTGCTGTGCAAATGAGCATTTTTTATTCCAAATGCAAAAAAATGGAATTTTTTCAAAAGTAAAAGCTCATTATGTTGTACACATGTTCCTGTCAGACCTGTAGAAAGTTTGATGTAGATCGGCTTTCAAACAGCTAGTCCCGGTATTTTTTTCGTGCCAAATAAGCTCTTAAAATAGTTTACCTGTAATCAATGCAGCAATCCATGGTGTTTTAAAACGGGGATGAATTTTTGCCATAAATTGTGGAAGTAAACCATCATTTGCCATACTATAGAAAATTCTTGGTTGACAAATAAGATTAACTAATATGACTGATGTAAGTGCAGAAATAGCCCCAATATCAACAATTATTATAATCCATTTTCCTAAATGTGTTGCTTTTAATACAACATCCATTGGACTAGATGAATCGAGTCGTTTATAGGGTACAACACCAATCATTACAATACAAACGCCAATATAAAGCACAGTTGATATTAATAATGAAACAAGAATTCCGATTGGTAAATCACGTTTTGGATTTTTTGTTTCTTGTGCTACATTTGTAACTGCATCAAATCCAATATAGGCAAAAAAGACAATTGTAGCTGCATGTAACATGCCTGTAACACCATATGAATTAAAATGACCTACAACGAAAGAGAAAAGATGTTTTATTTTATGTGTGTTAGCTCTACCGAATTGAATGAAAGGTCAATTTCAAGAACATAGAGTTTGCTTATTTATTCCAAAAAAATGTTTTCTACCTTCATTTTTAGGTATAAAGGGATGATAATTATTTGGAGCAATAAATTTTAATGAAGCAAATATGACCAATAAAATAACAAATATTTTAATAATAACAACAACAAAATTCACTTTAGACGATTCCTGTATGCCAAAGAAGACCAATATTGTTAATACGACAATAATGACAATAGCTGGTATATTAATGTAAGCATGCGTTGAAATAAATTCCTGGCTGGTTTCATTCCACTTTATCTATGGAATCAAAGAAAAAGACAATTAAATAAGCTCAACTAAAATTAAACCGTCTTACTGGTGATAGTATAAATGATCTGGTTGCATTGAATGGAAATATTACTTGAATTAAATTAACTATATATGCTGACCAGCCAACCTGAAACGAAACAATGATGTCAGTTAACAATGAATGGAAAAGCAAGTAGCGTTCATCATTCTGATTCACTTATCTCTTAACTGGAAAGGAATCGCTAATATCAAAAATACTCTTTTTCCTACTGCTGAATGTGATGAAAGTCGAACAGACCATTTTTATGCATATCATTTCCATCCAGCGTAGTTGAGATAAACAATACAACTAACAGAATCGATCCTAGAGGTCGCTCATACTCATTTTCTGAGGTGAATTACCTACTCCATATCATTTTCATTCAATCAAGTGAAAATTATGTTTTCAACCAATGAAATCGACCGTAGAGGTCGCTGATATGCATTTTCTGATTCCCCATAGTCGACTTTCCTTTATAGTCAAGGGAATAGAAAAGAATACAAACCGATACTGTTGCTATTGCTGCTAGATTACCCAAGGTCACATACCAACCCATAATCCAAGCAAGAAACTCACCCATCGCTGTAATAAACAAAAGAAAAATTTATTATTCAATCAAAAATAAAATAAGAAAAGAACTCAAAAACATACTGGCATAACAATATGTATAAGCACTGCCCGATAAAGGTACCATACTGGCCATTTCACTGTACGATAATGCTGCTAATCCAGCAACTATACCAGCAATGATGAATGATATAATAATAGATGGACCAGCAAAGAGTGCAGCTGATTTCCCACTTAACACAAATATTCCTGTACCTATAAATAACAACCATAAAAATTATCCAAGTAGGCAGAGAAAAAGAAACAGTGGCTTACGAACACAACTTTTATTGTTGCTTTAGTTCAGAACTTTAATCCTAGAAATGTCAAACTGACCTTGTCATTTTCTCTAGTTTCAGAAGCCTTGGCAGCCCTAAAATGTTAGCTGCTGCTTCGTGTCAAATAGAAGAAAGTTATTGACTGATGTACTTGTAAAACTGAAGAAGATTCGAGAGAATTTAATATTATTTTCCTCGTGGTATAAAGTGAACATACTGCTTAGGAATGGGACGGGCAGTAAGCGAGTCAAAATTTTAAAAGTTACAAGACTTAAACGCAGGGGAAAGATTTTCATGGAAACGAGATCGGAATCGATTTTTTGCTGAAGATTCCCAGTGGCAACAGACTCAGAAAAAACGCCTGTTAGTGGCAAGAGAGAACATCAACCTGTAAAAGGCTAATACCGAGTTGCAGTTAATAATCGAAATGCAAAGAGTTAAACTCTCTAGATTTTTCGCTGTCCACAATACTTCACTATTTACGGCAGTGAGCATTGAAAACATTTCTGAAAATCTTAAAATCTAAGAAATTTCAGTTAATTAAAGAACAAAAGTACACCTTCATTCAGTACCATTTCACAATTGAAAGAATAAGGAAGAAAAGAAACTCGTCAGTAACTGACTTCAGAGTTCGATCGTCTTTAGGTCGGTTAATCGGAACAAAAATTTGTTGATTCTTACCAATAATTCCTCCAACTCCTAACGCAATTAATTGCCACACACCCAACGATCGTTTCATAGGGTTTTTATCACTCTCAGCTAATAATTGAATCATTGATTGTCTGGCAATTAACTGTTGCAAATAGACTTTTATTCTTGTTGTTGTAATGAATTTTTCAACAAAATTTTTAATATTTAATGTTGATTTTTTAGTATTAATGACGTACTTTCCACTAACCATTTTTAATGACTGTCAAACGGATTTAAAAAATATTCGTAAATATTAATGATTCCGCTGAAAAAGAACCGATAATTATTGCAATGTGCAATAATTAATTCAATAGTATACTATGACTGAGAGAAATTTTTTTGTCAGAAACGAAAAAAATTAATGAATAAATATGATGAACTGTCAAATATCGATATGTGTATAAATGAAAAACAAAATAGAGAAGAAAAAAGACAAAAAACTACATGATATTTTGAAAATTGTCATCACTACCGTGAAATTATATTAAGCAAAAACAGCAGGAGTATAGAAGAGGCAAACAATTAATTGAAAATAGGTTTTTTTTCTTTCACATCAGAATAGAAGATACAAATAAATTAAAATATTTTATCAATCTATCAATTTACCTCTTTTTTTTCCCACATTGTTTTTATACTGGCATTTTCCTATGGAAGGTGAGAAAGTCAAGTCATTTTTGACTTAAGAAAACTATCCAAGAAAAAATGCTGCACTGACTCATTTTTTCCACAGGAGTAAAGTAGTGTAGAATGTAAATTTTTGTTGAAAAGTTCTACAATCAATCGAGACAATCCGATTCTTACTTTGATTGAAAATCATATCATATTGTCTGTCAATATCGTTCATCCGAGGACATTTATAACACTGGAAGAAAAACTCATTTATTGCGGTACGAAATTTTTTCAAAGAGAATGTAGTCGAAATGACTTAGCGTCTAAACGTATCACTTGATAACTTACTACCATCGATAATGGACGCAGAATAAAGGTTACCATAAGATTTGTGAAAAATCTCTAAGCAATCTTCAAAATCTCAGCTTTTCATTCATTTTGCAATTTCGATACAAGCTGCCAAACATATCAGGAAAAAAATCATTAATAACACATAGTATTGATTCTAACGAAAAGGAGTCATGACAAATATCTTTATGATTACAGAACTGTCAACTTGCATAGGTTTGAAACCAAGGAAGTATTTGCGTTTTTATTTATTTTCGCTCTTGAATGATTAATTTGTTTGGTAAATTGAATTAGCTTGTTTCTTCATATACTTCTGTCACTCTTTTGCTTAAGTAATCGTAAGATTGTTTCAAATTTGTGAAGTCTATACTTACGTATATTTAACGAAATTAATCGACCAGCATGTTTACTGTATTTTATATAAATGCAAATTATTATTGGTATTCATTTTTATACTTTATTTGCGCATGAATCCACGAAAAGGAAGCAAGAAAACAAGTAAATGTTTACCAAAGTAAACAAAGCAAAGCGATTGACCTCTTCTATGTACAATGTAGGCTCGCGAATATATCCATCTCGTCATAGGAAAACTCGATTCTGATCAAAAACCGCCTTTTACTGTGAGACAAGCTGAAAAAAATGCGAACGGCTTTTAGCGTTGAGTCTGAAGGACGCCAACGGGTTTTTCAAGGTGAAAGTTAAAGAACGCCGACATTATAGACAACGGACTCCTATACAAAAGGCCCAGGAAACAGGCGCAGAGTCTGGGCTTTCTTTTCATCTATTTAAAAGCTTCCCGGATGGTTTTTGTTATGGGAAAAATCTTTTGATTAAAGCGAATTATTTTTAAACTCTCATTGATCTTCCGCTTACTTTTGATGGGTTATCTGTATACATTTTGGTTTTTTGTCCAAGTACTTTAGCGCCGGGAAACTTAGTAGCGCACAGACACGACCTTTTGGACGCCTCATATTAACACATACATAGACCTACTGGAAGTTGTTTGTTTCAGCTATAAATTGAAGTCCGAGATAAACTTGCATAGTTTTTGTTGCTGACTACTTAATTTGGAATAAAAGGCAGAAGATAAAAACACAAGGTTTTTGAGGGAATTTCAGTACGACATCGTCAGGAATTATGCATTTTTTAATTCTAGATTATCTCAGCATAAAACAAGTTTATCTCGTATTCAGCGATTTGTAAAACATTTGCTTCAGATGAAACTCACTGCGGCTCACAAACAAAAGCGTTACCGAGAAAATTTCTAGGAAAAAAGATCTTCACAACGCTGTTTAGACAGAAAAAAGCTTCTGTCAAAATATTACTCAAAATACTATCCAAAAGTCCGTGCTTGTCATTCCAAAAATCCACATAGCGATGTATAGCTCTGAACACACATGAGTATAGAACAGATGTCGCTCTACAACCTGGTGCACACACCACGCCTCCATCTATCATGATTCGGATGCTAGGGGCAATCTCTGAGGACTTACCTGTCGGCCAAATCTGAGTTCTAGGAATCTCACAAACAGGTGGTACATAGGCTATCGAACACGCTCACTAGGGCAATGTTTGTTCTATTATGCAAGTTAAGGAAACTGCAAAAGACGAATTCTTCAGAAAATACGACAAAAGACAGCCCTGATTTTCAGCTAGAAAAAATTTCTGTCGTCCAATTCATGAAGATGGAGTAGTTTGCAGGATTTATCACTTTTTTCACATCTGTGCATTACCGATCAGTACTTTACTTATAAAATCCAAACAGGTAGACGGTTGACGCTGAAACGTCTAAGCATTATAGAATTTCTTGACCTACATATTTGTTAAAAATTTCAAGTTTTTCTCTCTCATCGTTCTCGTGATACATTCGTTCGAACTTTAAAAAATATCTGTGCGTTACTTGCGTTTTTCATGCAAAATAAACAAGGCAAAGCCATTTCGTTATGATCTCTTCTATGTATAATGCAATGTAGGCTCGCGAACATATGGATCTCATCACAGGAAAACTCGGTTCTGATCAAAGCCCCCCTTTTCAGTGTTTTATCGTTCTGTAGCAGAAACGTAGTGCAAGATAGGTTAATGGCTTGTTCGATAAGTAGTCGTAAATTTACAGGTTAAAAGTTTTGTATTTACTCTCAAAACAAAACGATATGTCTAACACATTATGCCGATAAACCTTTTTCATTCGAAATAGTTGATCTTAAAATTATAGATTTAGCATAAAATGTGTTATAAATGTACCTTATGTCATGAAAAATTGGATCTCAACAATACTGTACCTCGTTGCAAAAAGCCTTACTGTGACAAGTACGGAAGAAAAAAGTAGCAAATATTCCAGTCGGAATCAAGTTTTTATGCATGCTTTTTCTAATATACAAAGATAGCTATCATTTAGTCATTCTTTATAATTTTTCTTCTTTTGTTCGCGCAAACTATAGCTCGTATTCTGATATCTATATGTTGTGTCGTGACTACTATCCGTTTCAAAATACAAGAGTAGTGGATATTTTTTGAATAACTTTTGATAGAAAAGAGCTAGAGAGCTCCGGTTCTCGCAATTCTGGCATCCGGTCCGGTGACTATTGGTAGCCTTAAAGACGGATGGACTATGGGTAATCAACTATGCTGAGTCTTGTGGCAATATTTGTTTTTAGAAAAAATTTTAAAAATCTACCGAAAAGCGAGTTTTACGAAAATTAGGGTTTTCAGACCGTTTTCACCTAATTAAAAAATTCACTATACGGCTGAAAAACAGGTTTTTCACTAGTATCTTGTTGTGTTTTGACCTCTTTAACGTAGCTCACGCAACTCTAAACTTGGCCAGTAGATGCAACTTTGCATGCTCTATGCAATGGCAGGCTCAGATGAAAAGAAGGTGTACAAGGAGGTCAAAACCAACAAGATACCAGTGAAAAACCTGTTTTTCACTAGCGTCCTGTTTTCTTACTCAGAATTCGATGCTGATTCCGAATATGTATGGCTCATTGTGTGATTTTATAGGCACGAAACCCTGCATTCTGCCGCTTGTGCTTTAGCAATTGTTTTGGATGATGAACATCGAGAAGATTGTCAAATGGATTTCAAAGATGTCTTTTAATAAAAATATCGACTACTGGAACCGACTGAGAAATTCACACCGAACACGATGAGAGACGAAAATTTCATAAGCCGTATACATACATAAAATAATCCAAATAAAATAAGTCGAAACTCTCTTTGAGCTGAACACTCCGGTGTTGATCCGCTTAGACCTAAATGACGGACGTGGATGCGCGATTCGCAATGATGGCCCTTATCACCAAGTGTACGTGATCACAGAAGTCCTGTTTAACTTAATCGCACCGTTCATGATGACATTCTTCGGCCTTCTGACTATCTACAATACAAAACAAGTGCGCGCCCTTCCCGTACTGGTCTCACGACATCGTCGCACTCAACGTCAGCTTTTTCGGATGCTTTTTGTACAAATCGGCACTTATATGGCGCTCACGTTCCCCATGCCTATATTTTACTTGATGTTACTGCTTAACAGTGCATTACAAGTAACATTTCTTTTCTCCTTTCTGTCTAAGATCTTTCAGTTACTCTTTTTTCTTTCGTTTGCCACGCCCGTCGTCTTGTACATCCTTTCTGCTCATGTGTACAAACAACAATTCGTTCGACTGATGACGATAATTTTGCATCTTTGTCGTCGCAACTATCGACTTTAACCGAGAACAGATCACATTATAGTTCTGCGATGTATTACAGCGGTTCACGCTTCGGCATCACATTAGTGAACAGAATAGTCTGAACCAGTTCTAAATGAGTTTATCTTAATATTAATATATTTTCACGGACTCCAAATTTAAAGTTTAAGCACTATTTTGTCGAAGAATGAGACAGTGAGCAAAATTGCAAATCGAGCCATACGCACACTGCTGAGCTTCCTTAGTTGGGTATTGGTTGAACTGGCACAGAATCGGTCGATCGAAGCAAGCACAATGAAGTAGGGCGACATAGTTAGGCTGGTATCATTAACATATCTCACAAATCCGCAAGAAATGTAAGAGGTGGTAATCAGATCGACTTGATATCCATAGGTCAGCAAGTTACGGACCGGAACTACGCCCGATATGAAGAGATTGTCACATGCAAGGGCGAGAAAGTAATGAGAACATGCGTGACGATACAAGGCGGGTCGTGTGAGCACAGCGATGTTCAGTGAGTTGCCTACCACGCCCAAAATAATGGCTATAGGTATGATGACTCTGT